TGGGACTATAATTGGTTGACTGCCTTTGTAGCTGAAAAGAACTTACCAGTAGCAGACTTGTGAAGTATTTCTTTCTTTTATTTTTGAAACAGAGTCTCACTCTATCACCCAGGTTAGAGTGCAGTGGCCCAGTGTCTGGGGTTCAAGCAATTATTTGCCTCAGCCACCTGAGTAGCTGAGATTATAGGAATGTGCCACTATGCCCAACTACTTTTTGTATTTTTAGTAGAGATGGGGTTTCACCATGTTGGCCAGGCTGGTCTCGATCTCCTGACCTCAGGTGATCTGCTTGCCTTGGCCTCCCAAAGTTTTGGGATTCCAGGCATGAGCCACCATGCCCAGTAAATTGTGGAGTTATTTCAACAGACTAGATGTTCAAAATATTCCATGAGGAAAAGCACACTGTAATGTCCCCATGAGTGAGTGAGGGTTCCTCTTAGAGGGATGGTGGGCTAAGTGACACATCATGTCGGGGATCCCCTAGCCTGCTTCCTGGCAGGCCCAAGACACTGCAGTTCTGTGTCCCTGTCCCAGGCAGTTCAGCAGTGGGCCTGTTCCCACCCTGGGGTCAGAGCTCAGCCACTGTGGTCCCTGTGTATGGGTCATGCAATGGGTACATTAGAGGTAGTGGAGCCTAGAAGGGAAGCTGTGTTGTGGGGCCAGAGGTTCTAGGCCACCCGTGCTGACTTGCCTTGCTGCCTTGGGCAGGTAGGTTGCTCTCTAGTTCTACAGTGATAGCTTCTCCTCCAGCCTCTGTCACAGAGATGATGTGGAGACAAACAAGGGAACTGCTGCTAAAGTACTTTGTGAAAATGACAGAAACTGCCCCTCATAGACACGAGATCTTGTGCCCAGCAGTGGAGAGGCAGGTCCTGGCATCAAGAGTTCCTTCTGTGTGCTAGGCACTGTGTAGAAACTCACACATAGGATCTGCTTCAATTCGCACAACCACTTACGCTTGAGGTTTCCAAGTCAGGAAACTGAGCCTCAGAGAGGGGATGCACCATAACCCCAAATCCTGGGCCCTAAATCCCAGTCTATTTCCATCACGCTGCCTTGTCTTTAAAAGAAACTATTGGAGCTTCTTCTAATCATAAACAAAATGCATGCGAAGTCAGAAAACTTAGGAAGTGTGAATGCACATCATTCCATGACCCAGAGATAACGTCAGTTCGCATTGTTTTGTGATCCTTCTTTTGTTTATTCTATGCACTAAGAGCTTTCAAAAAAAAAAAAAAAACAAAAACAGGTTCTTACTGGAGACATCATTTTGCACACATGATGCTCATCAAAGGAAGGTCCACAGGCAGCATGGTCAGCATCACCTGGGAGCTTGTTAGAAATGCAGACATCTCGGGCTGCAGCCCAGGCTTACTGAAACAGAATCCATGCTGAGCAAGTGCTTGAAATGACAGGGATACATCTTCACTTTTATTTATTTTCAAATTTTTTACTGTGCAGGTACAAGTGCAGCTTTTTTGCATGAATATATTGTATAATATAATGGTGAGGTTTGGGCTTCTAGTGTACCCACAACCTGAATAGTGAACGCTGCACCCAATAAATACTTTTTCCACCCTCCCCATTTTGGAGTCCCCAGTGTCTATTGTTTCCATCTTTATGTCCACGTGTACCCCTTGCCTGGCTCCCACTTATAAGTGAGAACATGTGGTATTTGATTTTCTTTCCTTTCCTTTTTTTTTTTTTTTGAGACAAGGTTTCACTGTCACCCAGACTGGAGTGCAATGGTGCAATCTCGGCTCACTGCAACCTCCACCTCCCAGGTTCAAGCAATTCTCTTGCCTCAGCCTCCCTAGTAGCTGGAATTATAGGCATGTACCACCACACCTGGCTAATTTTTGTATTTTTAGTAGAGACGGGGTTTCACCATGTTGGCCAGGCTGGTCTTGAACTCTTGACCTCAAGTGATCTGCCCATCTTGGCCTCCCAAAGTGCTGGGATTACAGACATGAGCCACCAGGTTGGACCTGGTATTTGACTTTCTGATTCTGACTTGTTTCACTTAGGGTAATGCCCCAGCTCCATCTGAGTTGCTAGAAAGGACATGATTTCATTCTTTTTTTTTTTTTACGGCTGTGTAGTATTCCATGGTGTACATGCACCATATTTTCTTTATCCAGTCATCCGTTGATGGACACCCAGGTTGATTCCCTGACTTTGCTATTGCATATTCTTAGAAGTCTATCATAGCTGATTTTTCCCCCATTGCAATGTATGGTGGGTATTGTCCCATGTCACTAAATATTTTCTTGTATCATGATTTCTAGTGACTGGATAACGTCCCTCATATGGCTGTGTCCTGATGCTATGTCTGGTCTCCTGCCTATGTCTCCTACTGGTGAACCTTTAGAATGTTTCCAGGAAACTGTTATAAGAACGCTGGATTATCTCCTTAGAACAAATTCCCCAGAAGTGAAATTGCTAGAGCAGCGGGTTTTGATACATGCTGCCAGATTCTAGCCCAGAATGGATGTAGCTTGCTTGGTCACTCAAACTCTTGGCCAGGGTTTCTTGGGAGGCAGCTGTCATCACAGGGAAGAGCTCACACTCGCAGGGGCACAGGCCTTGATTTCAGGGTCGGATCTTCCACTTACTGCCGCAGTCATTAGACTGGTGGCTCAGCTGCTCAGACCCTCTATTTCCTCACCTGCAAAAAAACAAAAAACAAAAACGATGGACCATTTAACTCATAGCTGGTTGTGAGCTTTACATGAGACCTGGGATGTGCTTAATAAATATTCATTTCCTTTCCTTAGAATGAAATGAGCTCAGGGCCTAAGGAGGTCCTGTCACAAAGTCCTTAGATGTGCTTGCACAAGATATTTTAATAGATGCATATGGGTGTCGTTGACCTTTTCATTTGGTTCTCTGATGTCTCAGGGAATGTATGGCTTGGCCACAGCAAAGGAGGGCAAAGAAAGAAAACTCCTGACATTTTCTGCTCCTTAAATTTGAGCAGAGAGTTAACTTGTGTGCACCTCGCTGTGGAGAGCACACTGAGAGGTGGTGGAGGGGCCAGTGAGAGGCGTCACGGCCTGCAGGTGTCTTGCTACCCCCGCTGTTCAGCGCATCTCTTGGTCCCTGGGAATTCACACGATGTGACACTGCGTGCCCTCGGGAGGTTTGTCTCAGTGTGGAGTGGTGTCTCATTGGAACATTGGGCCACTCTGTGCTGGGCATGTCCTGCATGCTGGCCTTCCACGGGGACAGAGTTCTGAAGAGGCTCCTGAGGGCACCCTGCTGCTGATAGACGGCAGGTCACAGGAGAAAGCCAGCAGCAGAGGCAGGCTACATGCGCAGTCCAGCCCACTGAGGGGTGGAATTGCCAGTATGGGCCCTGTGGGATTTGGCCAGCTCGTGCCACTGAGCAGAGTGCTGCTGGCTGGGACAGTCCTTAGAGACCTCAGCCCCGGGGCCCAGTCCCTGTCCCTTCAATAATCCGTTCTGCTGCATGGGCCCCTGCACCACCCCCTAGGAGACAGGGGACTCTCCACCACCTAGTTGGCGCTCTCCCTGGCAGAAGGCCACGTTGTTGGCAGGAACACAGTGGGCTGCAAACTCTAATTGCACAAAGGGCAAATGTATATAAACTACCTTTAGCACACTCGGTGATTTTTTTTTTTTTTTTGAGATGGAGTTTAGCTCTTGTTGCCCAGGCTGGAGTGCAATGGCGCAATCTCGGCTCACTGCATCCTCCATCTCCCGGGTTCAAGTGATTCTCCTGCCTCAGCCTCCTGAGTAGTTGGGATTACAGGCGCCCACCACCACGCCCAGTTAATTTTTTGTATTTTTAATAGAGACAGGGTTTCACTATGTTGGCCAGGCTGGTCTTGAACTCCTGACCTCAGGTGATCCACCCTCCTCGGCCTCCCAAAATGCTGGGATTACAGGTGTGAGCCACTGCACCCAGCCAACACTCGGGGATTATCATCCAAGCTCTCCTGTGAACTCACTGCTTTCTTCTGTCATATCAAATGTATTTCTTGTGCTTTATTATTTAAATTGTAGGCCGTTTGAGTAGAATTCTGTATACAGTTGCATTTTGGAAAACAGAAAAGCAAGCTAGGACTTTTTCGGAAGCATCTTCAGAAGTTGCCCTTGCTGCCGCCTATTCCTGAATTTTAGCAATATAGAATCACACCTGCCACCCGGAGCCCTCTGTCAATACTCCAGATATTGCCTGGAAACTGCTGACTATACCGGTTGCAGGTGACAGCCATCAGATTTGGGAGGAACTTGAGTCAGGTGGCATTGTGATGTTGGTTGCAGGAGTCTATTATTTTGAAGTGGCAGCTGCAGGTAATCAGAGAGGAGCCACCAGGGCAAGTGGCTTTGTCATGTAGGGTGGCTGGGGAGCCAGCTGGGCTGGTTCAGTAGGTGATTTCTTTGCGAGGGCGTGGCCCCTGCACCTGCCAGGTGTGGGTTTCAGCGGGGAGGGCTGGAAATCCCATCAGTGCCACAATGAGTGGGGCAAGCAGGTTCCCCCAGGAAAGCAGTTCACAAAACTTATCAAGGGCCCAAGGTAACACGATGGGTCCTTAAGGAAAAGTCAAAAGAAAACTGAAACTGGGGAGCAATGTGCAGGGCAGAGACGAATATGCCTCCCACAGGGTCCCTCACACTGAGATAGCAAGTGGACATTGAGACGGGGCAGGAGGGGCCGTGTAGTTTTGGTGCTGGAATGAGAGAGGTGAACCCTGGGTCTGGGTGTGTCTGGCTCAGAAGCTGTTTCGGATTTTCTCAGCATTCTTCTTTCTTCCTGGGCCCTGCCCTTCCTCAGATGGGGAATGCAGCCTCACCTGCCATAGCCCTTTGCCTGCTTCCATGGTGAGCGCAATCAACAAAGCCCCAGGAACTCAGCAGGGATGCCAATCACAGGGAGGCAAGTCCAACTCCCGGCAGAGCCAGGCCACCCCCATCCTGGCCTTCAGGGATTGGAGCAGAAGGCGGAAGTGCATGCGTTTCTTAGACGGCCTCTGCTGCTGTGTGCCTGTAGGCCCGCCCAAGGAGCTCACAGGGCAAAAGAGGGCTGGGCTTGGCAGAAGCCCCACTTCCTTTTGGCCCATGGGTGCTTCTGTGGGAGATGGGGACGAGGGCTCGCGATCAGCAACCAGTGGTGACCTGTGGGCCCTAGGCCACTCAGAGGACAGGGAGGCCCACTCTTCTCCCTGCTGCTGGCTTCCAGGAGGATGAGAGAGCCGGAGGCTCACAGCACGCTCAGGAGGATGGCTGCCTTTTACCAGTGCATCAGGCCTGACCCCAGGTGGGCCCTCTGAGAGCCAAGAGGTGGTGGGGGAGAGACTCAAGGGAGGGAGGCCAGGCCATGACTACCAGGGCATGGATGGCCACCATCCCCTGAGGTCTATGGGTAACTTGCAGTGTCTGTTACCTTATGTTCTAGAATGTTTATGACCTCCTTCCTTACAGAGTTTTTGTCTCCTTGAGTTGTGTCAATTCTGAAGCAAAATAAGGATTTTCTTTGTTTCCTTCATGACACACACATATTCATAAAGAGAAAGGGAGAGGGAAAGAGGAGGGGGGCTGGGCGAGCAGAGGGTGTAATTCTTACCATCCCGTGCTTGCAGTTGGGATCTCCATAGCGCTGTTGATTGCACTCACCATGGAAGCAAGCAAAGGGCTGCTTTGAGTGGAGAGAAGGCAGCCGAGGTCAACGTTTAAGGACGTCATAATTATGCCACTACCTAAAGCTCAGCACCAAAGGACTTGTGCTCACCTGATAGCCACAGCCTTGGGAGACGCTCTGCCTGAGCTCCTGCACAGCAAAAGCCAGGGGCCCTGCCCAGAGTCATCTTGTCCTGCTTTCGGTGACCTTATGCCTGGAAGGTGTTTGGCTCTCAGTGCATTTTGACTCTGTTCACAGTGGTGGAGAGGGAAGTAGAGCTATGGCTTGATTAAAGTTCATTTGCTTAGCATAAATAAACAGATTGGAGTTTCACATGGAAAATTCCCAGTAGGGCAGTCTCCGTCTGTACAGGTGATTGTTAAATCTGTGCATCACTTGAGCTGGGTGGATAGTCTTGGGAAATTGATGTTGCTTCTTTGGAAAGACCCAACCACTGCCTGGCAGCAGCGGTTAGGGGGTGCTTGGGGAGTTGGGGCACACAGTCCATCCTCAAAGCCTCACTTTCTTTTTTTTTTCTAACACCCTAATTTTGGTTTTGTTTTTTGTTTCTAAAAAATGCTTTCTCTGAAAGATTAAAAACCCTTTGAAGGTATTTTTTAAACTATACTTTAAGTTCTGGGGTGCATTTGCAGAATGTGCAGGTTCGTTACATAGGTATACATGTGCCATGGTGGTTTGCAGCATCCGTCCCCTCAATCATCTACATTAGGTATTTCTCCTAATGTTAGCCCTTCCCAATCCCCACACCCCCTGCCATCCCTCCCCTAGCTCCCCCACCCCCAACAGGCCCTGGGGTGTGATGTTTCCCTCCCTGTGTCCATGTGTTCTCATTGTTCAACACCCACTTAGGAGTGAGAACGTGTGGTGTTTGGTTTTCTGTTCTTGAGTCAGTTTGCTGAGAATGATGGTTTCCAGCTTCATCCATGTCCCGGCAAAGGACATGAACTCATCCTTTTTATGGCTGTACGGTATTCCATGGTGTATATGTAATGCTTTTTCTTTATCCAGTCTATCATTGACGGACACTTGGGTTGATTTCAAATCTTTGCTATTGTAAACAGTGCTGCAATAAACATATGTGTACATGTGTCTTTACAAATGAATGTTTTATAATTTTGGGGTATATACCCAGTAATGGGATTGCTGGGTCAAATGGTATTTCTAGTTCTAGATCCTTGAGGAATCACCACATTGTCTTCCACAATGGTTGAACTTTGTTACAAAGGAGTAGTAACCCAACAACTCAAGGATTCCTTGTGAAGACAGGACCTGTACTGGGTAAAGCCCTGTGCATGTTAGCAGTCATTGCTGTTACTGTTTAATAAAAATCTTTTTATTAATAATGAAACCTCAGTGCCCGATTCCACCCCATTTTGTATGGGCCGTAATAGAGTGGTGATATTATGTCTTGGTAATAGGCTTTGGAGCATTATTTCCTACTGAAAAAACAAAAACAAAAACAAATTCAGGTCCGTATCTGCTATGCTGCAGAAATGTCAGTCATAAATGTAGCATTCTAGATAAATTAAGCATTATTTGGGGGATCTATGCATAGAAAAAATGAAGTATATTACCTCATTAAACTCCTGAAGTTAAAAATAACCCAGCCCTTGTAAAACTGTGCCCAGGGCTTCGGTGTCCTGTTTGTCACATATGTGTGCTGCAGTCAGCACAAGTTATTGCTCTCACTCAGAGACTAAACATTGCCAACTTAGATGGCCTCTTTGCAAGACACTCCCAAGCGTTAGAGTGAATTTATATTGTATCTTCCCAAGAATCATGCAAATAGAATTTCTAAAATAAGGTTATGAATTCTGATGCTTAGCAACTTCTGAAATACGGTTTTGTAAAAGACTGATAGTTTTTTTTTTTTACTCTAATAACCTGAAAATGTCTAAACTAATGTTTTTCAAATCTCATATGAAAACATTCAGCTCTGGATGCATGAAGACAGGTTGCTCTTCTGAAAGCTGTCATGCATTGCAGTCTGAGACATGGCTTGTATTCAGTGTTGGTGCAGGCTTAGGTGGCTCATGTGAACACAGGCCCGTGTGTGAATATATATGAGCTTACCCTGTGTTGTATAGCTGTATACATGCCTAGCTAAGTTACTTAATTTGTCCATTTATAGGGACTCTGAATACCACTAAATCAACTGTTATGTAGGTAGTTTCTAAAAAACAGTGTAGTTTACATAAGATACTATTTATATGCTTATAAGCTATGCTGTTTATCTCATGGCTGACTGAGTGTTGGAATGAAGCTGTAGTATTTCCTTGCAGAGAAGCAGCCCAGCAGGTTGTGGCCCGCCATTCTCTCTAGATGCCCTCACTGTCCCCGCCCTGCCCATGGCCAAGGGGAAGCCTGGGGAAGCAAACCAGGCCTCTAAGCAGGGACCTCCTCTGCTTCTATCTTCCTTTACTCCTAAACGGAGGGGTCTGCAAAGCCCAGCAGACTTCAGCTCTATGTGGCTATAGGATAGGTGATGTTTGAAGAAAGACACTAGGCAAGAAGAACTCAGGCTAAAGAAATGTGACAGTGTCTAGCTGAGTCATAGATTTTGAAGGAAGTCTGTCCTTGAGGCATTATTAATGTGCTGGGTGATCACTAAGAAATGATTCTTTCTGCCAGGCACGGTGGCTCATGCCTGCAATCCCGGCACTTTGGGAGGCTGAAGCAGGGGATCACCTGAGTTCAGGAGTTTGAGACCAACCTGGTCAACATGGTGAAAACCAGTCTCTACTGAAAAAACACACACACACACACACACACACACACACACACAAGAAATTAGCTGGACATGGTGGTGTGTGCCTGTAATCCCAGATACTTGGGAGCTGAGGCAGGATAATCACTTGAACCCAAGAGGAGAAGGTTGCAGTGAGCCAAGATCATACCATCACACTCTAGCCTGGGCAACGAGAGTGAAACTCTGTCTCAAAAAAAAAAAAAGAAGCGATTCTTTCATCTAGCAGGATTTAGCAGGTGTTACTGATAAGTGCCTCTGGATCATTTGCTCATTCATTCATTTAACAATATTTATTGAGCACTACCATGTAGCAGTTCCATGCTGGTGACATGTTACCTCTGCTCATGGAGTTAGTCTTCTGGTTTTACCTACTTAGCAAGAAAGGGGCTTTCTCTAGGCCACGCCTTACTTTAGTTTTAAAAAATCAGATAAACATTAACTACAGGACAGTGAGACTTCAAATCTGACCAGCCAAGTTCCTTTACTCACTCTTCTTGCTTTACTTAGAGCTTTGTCACTTAACATCTGAATACTCTCTGGTTTCAGCCCTTTGAGTATGAGAATTCTTTGCTTGTTTTTCTCTCGTATGTCAAGAGTATATCTGTCTCTTTGTCCTCGCTGTCCTTTCTGACACGTGGACAGAGAAAGGTTTGCACACAAGTGGGTGACAGCTTCAAAGGGCAGGAGGTGGGAGGGGAGGCTGAGGCTGGTAGATCACCTGAGATCAGTGGCAGTTACCTGTAATTGCAGCTACTTGGGAGGCTGAGGCAGGAGAATTGCTTGAACCCAGCAGGCAGAGGTTGCAGTGAGCTGAGGTTATACTATTGCACTCCAGCCTGAGCAGCAAGAGAGAAACTCTGCCTCAAAAAAAAGAGCAGGAAGTCCTCTGACACCTTCAGGGGGAGAGAGTTAGCTGCAGTGAGTGAGGTCCAGTCTTGATGCCCTGCGTCTTTGGGGTGGGTACAGCTGCCAAGTCCCTCTGCTTTTGAGGATAATAATATCATTAAGCAGCAAGCTGGCACAATTTTTGAACAGAGATTTCTCACAGGAACTTTGCAAGCATTTCACATTCCATTTGCTTCAGTAATGTGAAACTTATTTTTCTAAAAAAAGGTACAGGCAGATCTTGGCGTGACTCACTAGAGAACAATAGTTAAGTCATAATTTATTTTCATCTTTTTCTCCAAGAAAAGGAAAAATTGATTAAATCTATAGAGAATATAACCAGGCATGAATCTGTAGAGGGGAAATGGATCAAAGAATCACACAAACATGTATATGTATAAAATGGGTAAGTTTTGGCAACAAAAAATACAGGGCTCCCACAATATGTCACGGGAGGTCTTGACACATTTTGAAGGGACAGATTGATCTTCCTGGGGAAGCAGAAAGAAAGCTGACATCTGAAGGATGAGTAGGAGCAAGACCAAAGTGGAGTGTGAAGGCAGGGAACATCAAGTTCAAGCAGAGGGAACAACATCTGCAAAGACCCTGGGCTGGAAGGAAATGCAGTGCTATTGGGGGAAGGGCAGGACTGAGGCACTCGTTCTGCCGGTGTGCACAGGGCTTGGGTTGGAGTCCAGCCCGTTTCCTCCTGTTGTTGCTGTTTGTATCTACCCACATTTGTGTTGTCTCTATTTCTGCCCCCATCTCCAGACTTCTCCATGAGATTGCATCCCTCTTCCTGTAATAGCTGTTTCAGTGTGAGTTTGCTGGAAACAAATCGTATCAACTTTTCTTTTCCGAAAATGTCTTTATTTCGTCCTTTTTCAGCAGCTTTGTTGACTTATCATTTACATATCTTAAAGTTTACCTGTTTAATGTGCATAATCCGGCCAGGTGAGGTGGCTCATGCCTATAATCCCAGCAG